TCCCTTCCCTTCCCTTCCCTTCCCTTCCCTTCCCTTCCCTTCCCTGGGGAGCCTCCAAGGCCTCCCGCTGGGGCTGGGAGTGGGGCACCTGGCCCAACCACGAGGAGAGGGGACTGGCCCCCGCTGGGGAGGCAGCCCTTCGGGTGGGGGGAGGCATGCTGGCGCAGGACCGTTGGGGACGAGGCTCTGGAGGGCAGGGCCCAGCCGAGCCCCAGAAAGGGCGGCTGGGGCACGAGGCGCCGCAGGCAGGTCTGCCCCCACCCCGCTTCAAGCGCAGGGCACGAGAGCAGGCACGTCCTGCCAGACGCCGAGCCCCCTGCCCAGGGACGGGGCAGCTCCGGGCGCGGCCAGCGACCCCTGGGGGCTGGACCCTACCTTCATCCGGAAGAAGGTGATGCTGGTCAGCAGGTCCACCGTGGATTTCAGGTCCTGCAGGCGCTCCCGGCTGCTGGCTGGGAAGTTGTTCTGTGGGCAGGGAGAGCAGCTCGCTCTTGCACGGGCAGCTGCGCGGGGGCCCAGGGGCCGCTCCGGCAGCCCCCCCCCGCCACTCAAACGCAGGGTCGGCAGCGACCCTGTGGCTTCGTCAGCCCCGTGTTCCTGCCGGGGCGGCCACGCGCGAGGGGTGCATCGTCCTCGTTGCCCCCTTGCCGCAGGCGCACCTTGCCGAGCGGCCACAGCCCGGCACGGTGGGCTGCCCGGGGATGCCGCTGCCCGACGCCAGCCCTGCCGGCAGCCCCTTCCCGCCCTGCCTCCTGGACTGCAAGGTCTGAACAGCCCCTTCGGTGACACAGGCACGCGCCCACGACACGCAAAGGAGGAGCCCCGCAGAGCCGCCTGGAGCCGTTCCTCGAGGAAGCACGGGCCTGGGGAAAGTGCGGCAGCGGTGAGGGATGCCTTGGCCACACGGGGTCCCCCAAAGAGGGAGCCCCCCCTTCTGGGGAGCATTTCCAGGCACGGAAACACCTTTAATGAATGGCCAACGGCTCCGAGATGCGCGCCGGCTGCACTTGGGGGACAATCAACCGGGAGCCCATTTACGCAACAGAGTCTTATCATTATAAATTAGATTTAATTACATTTTACTGCCGCTCACGCTAGCTTACTATTTTGGGCGGCCGAATGAACCAGCATCTCATCCAAGGATTAACTAATTTTTTCCAATAATGAGCGGCGTGACTCTGCAATGTGTAATTATGCGCTTCCCAGAGGGCACGTCCTCGCGCTGCCTCTTTCTCGCGAGTGACGTGGGGGAGATGCTTCCCCGGGAGAGCCAAATCCGCCCACGCCAGCCAGGCGGCCGAGCGGAGCGCGAGGCACGGAGGCCCCGTGCCCACCGGGCCCAGCGTCTCGGCCACGAGGCGGCGCGCCAGCCGCCCACGGGATTGCTCCGGCAGGATGGTGTGGGGCCTCCCGCCGCCCAGCCACGGGCCCACGCGGGCCGGCCACCCCGACGGGGAGGGAGCACACGGCCAGCAAGGCGAGGGGCAGTGATCGCCTGCTCTTTCACGAAACCGTCCAGGCCCTTTTAAAGCCCCCCGGATGGGCGGAAGAGGAAGGATCCAGCATGGCGGCACGGAAGGAATTGCAGGGGTGGCGTTGGCGTCAGGAAGGCTGAAGCTAGGAATGAACTAGGCACCCCCAGACTGACCGGCCGAGACCGACGGCCGAGGATCCGCTCACTGGGCCCAATGAACTTCGCCCCAGAGGCAGAAAGAGTCCGGCAGAAGAACGCTCAGAGCCACTGCCCTTCGTCTTTGAGAAAATTATCTACTTATTAAACACTTCTCTGTTCCACCCCCTGGAGGACCTCATGGGATGGCTTACATGAGGAATCATGGAGAGGAGGAGGCAGAAGTGCCAAATGGCTGGAGAAGGGCCAATGTTGTCCCTGCTTTCAAGAAAGGGAAAGACGACCTGGGAGCTACAGGCCAGTCTGTCTGACATCAGTCGCTGGGAAAATTTTGGAGCAGGTTATGAAGCGCTCAGTCTGCAGACACCCTGGAAACAACGCAGTGATGGCTTGAAGCCAGCACGGATTCCTCGGGAACGAATCCTGCCAGACAACTCCGATTTCATTTTTGGACTGGGTAACCTCCCCGGTGGACGGCAGGAATGCTGTGGACGCAAGTCATCTTGACTTCTGCGCAGCTTTTGGCAAAGTGCCACATGGTCTCCTGAAAGGCAAGCTAGCTGAAAGCGGGCTGGATGGAGCAACGAGCAGCCGGATCCACCGTTCTCTACAGAACCAGGCGCAGAGAGCTCATCACCAGCTCCTTCTCGGACTGGGGAGAGGGGGCGGTGGGGATGGCAGGACCCACTTCTTGGCCCCGTGCGCTTCGACATTTCCATAACTGACTTAGATGAGGATGTGCAGGGAACCATGATCGCATCTGCAGATGACACAACCTGGGCGGGAAAGCTCACACCCCGGAAGGCAGGAAAAAGGTCCCCGGGGAGCTCGGCGGGTTGGAGCGCAGGGCTGAAAACTGCGGAATGACGTGCAAGAGGGGCCAACGCCACGAAGAAGAACCGAGACGCGCCCCGGCAGGACGGGGACACTCGGCTCAGCAGGGCTGCGAGCGGGACGGAGCCTGGAACCGCCGCAGAGCACAAGCGGCGCATGAGTCAACGTGTGAGGGGCTGAAAAAGGGCAAATGCTATTTTGGGCTGCATCAAGAGAAGCATCCCTTCCAAGTCCCGGGGAGAACGAGGCCCCCTCTGCTCAGCACTGGCGAGGCCTCCTCGGGAGCGGTGTGGCCGGTTCTGGGCACCACGGCTAAGAGGGAGGAGACAAGCCGGAAGAGGTTCAGACGGGCAGCAGGGGTGATGTGGGGACTGGAGGCAAGGCCCGGTGACAAAGGACGACGACAGCTGGGCCTGGTCGGCCTTGCGGAGAAGACTGAGGGGAGACAGGCAGCACCCTACAAGCGCTTGCAAGGCTGCCCCAAAGAGGAAGGCCAGGATCTCTCCTCGCTCATCCCAGAGGGCAGGACGTCGAACAACGGGCTCAAGGTACACGGAGCCAGATTTCCGCTAGGAACCAGGAGGAACCTGGCAGTCGGAACAGCAGGCAGTGGGACCAACTACCAGGGGGAGGGAGGCGGTGGGCTTCTCCCAGGCCTTTCTAAGCCATTATTAGCTTGGCCGAAGCCAGGACCGGGACACACGACCCCTGTGTTTGCACTGACCCAGCGCCCCACCACAGGATGAGCTGGGCTGAAAAGGGGCAGAAGCAAATCGGAGAATGGCCTCACTGAGCCTCAGAGCGCGTACACTCTGGGATGCCCGGAGCCCGGAAGCGCCCACGAGGAAAAGAACGGTGCCATCCCGCCAGCCTGTCCGTGGGCCTCGGGGCGAGCTGCGAGCGGGATCCTCGGGGCCACAGCCCCTGGGGAGGCTGCAGACGCGCTGCCCTTCCTCCCCTCTGAGACTGGGGGTGGGGGGTGCCGTGGCCCACTTCACAGCTCCGCTGGATGAGTGCCTGGAACGGCCTGCCAGAGCACTCGGGAATGCTGAGGCGCTCCGGAGACGCCGCGGTGCTTGGCACTTACCCTGTACATGGACAGGTCAATTCGGAGAGAATTGTGCAGCTGGTCCAGGAGTTTAACGAACCGCTCTTTCTGTGGGCACAGGAAAGGGAGAGGAGAAAACGGGCTGCAGGCAAGCTTTAAAAGCAGCCCATAGTGATCCCTACGCAGAGCTGAAACAGGAGCCCCCTTTCCGAGAAGCATTCACCCCTGGGACCCACCGTCTGCATCTCTGGGGGTGCAGGGGAAGACGGGGGGGGAAGCCTCTGTGGCTTCTGCGTGAGAAGAGCGGCCCCCCCACAGTCATATGGGGTGGGATCGCTCTGCAAAGGGGCTTCTCACCACCTTGCAGGAAAAGGCAAATTCCCCTGCAGGGAAGGCTCCTTTTTGAAAAGCAAGCCGCTCTTGCCCCCTAAATGTCCCCTCTGCCTCAGGGGCAAACAAGCCCATGATCCCCGGTGCAACTCGCCTTGCTCCTCAGAAAAAATGCCCAAGCAGCTCACTTGGGAGCACGGGGCCACGGAACGTGGAGCAAAGAGCAAGCCGCCCTCCCTGCCCACGTCGCAGCCACCCTGCTGTTGGAGGGGAGCGCGGCTTTGCTGGTCTCCCGCAGCAGCCACATATCCTTGCTCACGAGGAGCCTTCTGTTGCCGGAGGAGCCGCGCCTCGTTCAACCCACTCCGCCGGTGTGTGCCCGTGTTGGGCACGGCGGGGCCCTGGCCTCCGAGAGCCCCGTCTCGGCTGCCTCGGGAGGCGTTCCCAGGCGGGCAGGTGGGCCGGCTCCTTCCCGCCGGCCCCACAGCCCCACGGCCCCCGTGCAGAGGGGCCGGGCACTCACCCCAAAGTTGGAGGCGGAGAAGCGGTCCGAGGCGGAGACGTGGGTGGAGGCGGTGGTGTGGGCGAAGTAGGCGTTGATGTTGGCCAGCAGGGTGCTCATCACGGCCGGCACGCCGGGGCACATGTACTTGGAGGAGAGACACGCAAAGTGCCTGTGGGGCAGACGGGGCTCAGAGCGCTCTCCGCGGCCCGGCCGCTCCGCAGCAGCCACGGCACGCCGTCTGCAGAGGGGGGCGGGCCCGGCCACCCCAAGGCCCCCTGCTCATCGCGGCGTGCGCAGCGGCCGGCCAGGCCAGAGCGCCCGCAGCACTGCCCGCGTCTCCACGGGAGGCGCACCAAGTGGGCCGGGCCACGGCTACAGGGAGAAGGGCGAAACCGGGCCGCCCACGGCCCGTCTCCCCAGGAGAAAGCCCAGCCCCGGCCCGTGATACAGAACAGCAGCCCTGAAGCAGGATCAGGCCCAGGGCCACCCAGCCCAGCTCCCCCCGCATGCAGCGGTCAGCCAGAGCAGGGGGGCACGGCCCCACCTGCCCAGGCTGCTGAGCTGCTGCTGTGTGCAGACACAGCACCTCTGATGGCGGGGGCGGCGCGTGGCCGGCCTCCCCGTGGCCCCAATAGCCTCACGAAGCGGCCTGATCCCCCTGCAGCCCCGCAGGAGGGCGGCCACCCCCGCTCCCCGTGGCAGCAGAGTCCGCCATTCAGCTCCTCGCCCTGGAAAGATGTCCCCCTTTTGGCCTGCCCCGGACCCCCCCCCAAGCAGCTCCATGGGGTGACACCGCTGAGCTCGGGGGTGAAAGGAAGGGGAACAGCCCTTCCTGCCCACATTCTGCCCCCCCACACCTCCCCGGGCAGGCCTTTCTCCGGGGCCGGCGGTTGTAACACAACCCTCCAGCCTCGTCCTAGCTGGCCCCTTTGCCCACTCCATCCTGGGGGGCACATGAGGCAGGCAGCCCTTGCCGACCATCCAGGCACAAGCAGAAGGGTCCGAAGCCCTCTCTGAGCGTGGGCGCTGTGGGGAGAGACCCCTTCCTACCCCCAGCCACCCAGCAGGTCAAGCGAGGTCTGGCACTCCCGCCTGTGGCCCCAAAGCACCGACTAGTCGCCCAACGGCCCCGGCCAACGGCCCCATCGTCCCCGCAGCTTGCCGCGCTTGGCCTGCCCGCGAGGGCTCCTCCAGCGGTGAGAGGCCCCTCTCCGAGGGAGGCGCACCGGCAGCATCCCGGGTGGGTCTGACCCAAAGGGGCCTCCTCACGGCAGCCCCCCACTGGCCGGCCAAGCGCCTCCAGCGTGCACGCGGGCAGGATGTGCCCCCTCCACTCGCTCCAGCCGGCCCCGGGCATGGCAGAAGCCATCCTGGCACTCCCCCAGCGGCCCCCCGACTGCCAGCCTGAGACGTGCCCCCCCCCCCACTCCCAGCCCTGCCAACCGGAGCGCATGGCCTCTCGCCCTGTCTTTCCACCCCACCGCCATGGGCACCGCCTCTCCTTCTCCAGGGCCGTTTCTCTCCGGCCGGTTGCTTCTCTCAGCCTATGAGCCCAAAGTGCCTCAGAATGATTCTAGGGAGGGTCCCCCACCCCTTCTGCACTTTAATGAGAACAATGAAATTAAGACAATGCAAATGAGGCCGCTTCCTTCCTGCAGATGGCAGAATTGGCCTGAAGGAATTTGCACGGTCTCTGGACCCTCCGGGACTCGGCTTGTGCAGCGCCGAAGGAGTGCAGCTGCCCCCCCCCACTGCACCCCCCCACCCTGCTCCATTGCTGGCACCTGGGCACCGGGGGCCCAGCCGGGCAGCCTGTGAGCTGGTGCTGGCCGAACTGGAGCGCCTGGGCAAAGCCCCCGAGGGGGAGCCCGGCCACCGCAGCAGCGAGGCCCACCCTGGGGAGAGAGGCGCCCCGCCTGCCCCCCCGCCTGCCGCAGGCCGTCAGAGGGGCGGTGCGACGGCCACGGGCCCCTCCCCAGCCTCCAGCAGCCTTGCTGCTGAAATGCCCCGGGCTGCTCTGGGGGGACTTCACTGCATCAGCGCACCCCCCTTTCAGTGGCAGGGCTGCTCCCACCAGTGCCTGGAACCGTGGCCGGGGGGACTCACGTCATGGCCTGGTAGATGGACTCGATCCCGTAGCGCATGGCAAACTCATCCACAATCTCCTGGCCCGTCTCGTCAAAGTACACCTTCCAGGCATCGTCCCCTTTGGCGTCTGGGATCTTCACCACCCCGTTCCCCTGAACGTCCGTCAGGTGGTGGAAAACGTTCTGCGGGGAAAGCGAGGCTGGTCCGGAAGAGGCAGCGGCTGCCCCCACGGAAAGCCGGGCGGTTCGAGTCCTGGCTGGACCGAGGCAGGTGGGCGCAACCGCACGGGAGAAAACCGAAGCTGCTCTGTGCTCTTCGCCTGCTGCCGAGAGGCTGCTCAGGGGTCCACGCTGCCCGAAATCTCGCCGGGTGACCTTAGACCCCCCCCACCTAAGCAAATTTGCGGGTGGTTCCGCTGCTGCAGCCTTGCTCCCCTGCCAGAGCCCCAACTCCCAGCACAGCGGAGCCCCTGAACAGTCGTGCCATTTGGAGCAACTCTCTCCCAAAGCGAGCAGCAGCACCGCACAAGGAATCGTGGCTGGCACAGGGCCCACCCCGCGGCCCGTTCTGCAGCTCGGTCAGCCCGACGGGGCTACAGAAAGCCCCACACAGGCCACCACAGGGACTGGGGCCGGTTCCAGCCCTGCGGCGGACTGGCTTGCCCTCAGAGAGCAGCTGTGAAGTGGCTTGCGTGATCAGGTGCGGGGCGGGCTCCTCCGTGCCCAGCGCAAAATGGCCCCTCCAGGCTGGAAACAACTTTTCAGCCCCGCTGAAACCTCTTCTGGGGGTGTTATGAAAAGCCGAGGTGGTGGGGCAGATGAAGAGGGTAGAGGAAGAACCGAAGGAAGCGCCGGCCCCGGTGTTCTGCTAGACCCTAACGGGCGGCTTCCCGATGGTGCGGCTGTTGTGCAAATCGGTTTCCTAGCAGAATCCCCATGGATGCATTTACTCACGAGCAGCCACTGGGCTCCTGGCCTCGTCCAGCTTCCACCTGCCCCTGCGCTGTAGTCATGGACAGAGGCACCAGTGGGGGGGGGGGCCCACCTCACCCATCCTTGAAAGGATGCCCATTGAATGGATCCAGGCTTCCTCTGCACTGGACCCCATGCCTGAGTTTCCGGAATTTGGCTGCCTGGTGCAGCACAGCCATGAGGACTAGAATCTTACCCATTTTAAAGCGTAGGACCTGAGATTTCTAGGAATTTAATCAGAACTCGCACGTTTGCACTGCAATAAACAGTGGTGCAGGAGAGGCCAGCAGGCCGTGAACGTTAAGCTCCTGCTGAAGCACCTGCCAGCAGCTTGACGGGCTTAACGGGCAGAGCACTTCAGAGGACACGCCTGGCCTTCCCGGAGGGCTGCCTGCCCACATGACCCGGACGGCTCTCTGGGGGCCAGCAGGAGCTTCTCAGCGGGCCAGAGCCAGTGAGGAGCAGGGCCAGGAGGCTGGGAGCCGAGGAGCCGCTTCCACGAGGGGGGGTTGCGCGGCATTCCTCCCCGTGGGGGCAGAGCGGAGGGGCTGCATGTACCTCGTGCAGGCAGGTGTACTGGACGTGGTAGGGGGCCACCTTCTCCTCCCCTTTGATCTCCACGCTGATCTGCAGGCGGATGGCGCCCGACACGGCCGACTTGTCGGTCCTTTTCTCTGGAACGGGAAGGGAGCGTGTCCACGGGGCCCATCACCTCGGCCCGGGTGGCCACAGGGGCATGGAGCCGGGCGGAAGCCAGCTGGCCACACGGCCTGCCGGGAGCTGCCCGGGGGCTGCTTGGCGCACGGAGCCTGGGCGGGCAGATGCGGCCCCTGCCTGCCGGTGGTGCCCCAAAGCAGACGAGGGCCACGCCCCCGCCCCAAAAGGGGCCGCTTGCCCCAGCCGACGAGGAGAGACAGAAGCCGAGCCCACCCTGCGAAGGGGCTCTGCAGGGCCTGCTTGGCGGCGGGGTGGGAGAGCACACACGGCCCCACGGCCCATGGGCCCCTGCCGGCCCCGTGGGACCAGCCGCCCGCCGGACGTCTCCCTGGCCAGCAGCCCATGCCCACGTGGCTCGCGGTCCCCGCAGTCTCAGGCAGGACCCTGCCACGGGGAAGGGCCCCCCAACCCTCTGCTCACGCATTGCTTCCCTCTGCATCGTTCCATTCTAGAGAAAGGCCCTGGGGGGCACTTGAAGGCGCAACGCACAGTGCCCGGGCTCACAGGCCGGGGCATGCGCTCCCTCGTGGCACGGCTGGTGGGCGCGATTCTCCAGGCAGGTGCCGAGGCAGTTCCGCCTCCCTGCATCCCGGGCCCCCGGGTTCCCATGTGCTGCGCGCCCCGGGATGCTCAGCCCCCCAGAAGCTCCCCCGCCAGGCTCCTCCCGGTTGCAGCTGGGGGGCGTTTGCGCTTGGTGGCCCTGGCTCGCTCCGGAGCTGTCGGCTGCTCTCCGCGTCCCGGCCCCCCAAGGCCGCCGTGCCCCCCGCACAGGCCCCCGCCCCAGCCGCATGGGCCCCCGCGGCCTCCGAGGCGGGAGAGGCGCGCCGCGAGGCTGAAACTGACCCAGGTTGTACCAGACGTCCATCTCGCCGCTCAGCGTCCGCACCTCGATGATGGTTTGCCCCAGGAAGTCATCGGACTCGCGCTTCAGCCTCTGCTTGACGCGGGACTTGATGTCGTCGTCCTCGTCCCAGACGCGCACCTTGATGCGGTCCGAGGAGTTGTGGCACTCGCTGCGAACAGGGCAAGAGAGGCGACTGTGGCGTGCGCTGGCCCCCGAGGCCACGCGGCCCCCGAGGGTGGACCTCTCGCTCCTTCTGCATCCGGGGGGCAGCGGGGCTTCCTTCGCAGAAAGAATCCGTCAGCCACAGCCGGCGTGGCACCCGCCAGGGGATTCTGGGGGTCCCGCAGTGGAGACCCCGCACCAGGGCAGGCCCCGCCGGGCACCCCCCCACACACACAAGAACATCACTGTGTTCACTTGTACACCACCCAATAGCCAAGGGTCTCTGTGCAGTTAACGAATGTTAAAAACACACAACCAAGAAAGGGGAAAAAGTAACGCAAGGTAATGAAGCCATCATAATCGCAACCATTTCCCAGGAGACCGAGCGGGGGGGACAAAGAGAGGCCCACCACCCGTGCCCAGAGGCTCCCTGCTACACACACACGCACAGGAAATAGCCAGGTGACGCACAAGCAGCCGACAAACAATCACAGACGTCTCTCTCTCACACGAGCGTGTGTGCGCAGCGTGTCAAGCGCCAATCTGCCCCCCCCCCCAGGCTTCCTGGCACTCGCCCCCGCGGCCCCCTGTGAGAAAAGGCCAGGCGAGTCGGCGGGAGATGCGGTCCTCCTCCCCATCCCGCACACCGGGCCACCCTGGCGCTCACCGACCCCTGGCAGAGCCCCCCTCACAGGGTGGTTGTGAGGCTGGGGGGGGGGCGAGCCACGCGTGCTGCTTGGCTGCTTGCGAGGGAGGGAGGGCGGGAGCCACGCGACCCGCCAAGGAACGGCTGGGGCAGGCAAGGGGCTGGGGGGGCTGCCCCGGCCGGGATCCCCGCATCCCGAGGCAGCTGAGGACAGGGGGCTGCAGGCCAGGCCGAGGCCCTGCCTGGACAAAATGGTTCGAGGCGGCAGGTGGGCAGGGGGCAGGAAAAAGGCAGGGGGGCCGGGGGGGCTGACTCCCACCCCCGCTGCCCTCTGGTGCAGAAAAGGGAAGGGCGGGGGAACGTCCCCCACCAAGGAGAGCTGGCGGCAAGGCAAGGCCTGGGGGCTCAGGGCTGCCAACACCCCCGTGCTTGGGGCTTGCCCGAGTGGCCCCGGGCCCGCAGGCAGTGGCCAGGCCGGGCCGGGGCCGGCACACGCTTCTCCCAGGCAAGCTCCCCTCCGGGTGCGAGGAGGCGGGCGGCTGGTCCGGAGAAGGGCTTCAAGCCCGCCCTTTCCCTGCCTGCCCAGGGCACGCCATCGTGCGTGGCACCGGCCGGTGCAGGACGGGGGGACCTCCGGCGGGACGTGGCCCCTGCCACACGCGAGGCCTTCGAGCGCCCTCCTCCAGGGGCCTCCCACAGGCAGTGGAGCCCCAGTTCCCGCCGCCTTTATGGGGGCGCAGACACAAGACCCTCTGCTGATGCAGGCGCTTCGTGAGAAGCTTGCCAAGCCGGGCGGGGGGCACGGCAACCCATTCCTCTGGGGAGCAGCCCCTTCCAGGCAAGGAAGAGAGAGGCCTCTTTGGGCCGAGAGCCCTTCCGGCCTGCCCCGAGATGCCACGGGGGACCGCCGGGCAGCGGCTCCTGCAGCCCGCGACCCACCAGGCGAGCGCCCCGCCACAGGCTTGCCCGCTCGGGCTTCGGCTGCTTTAGAAAGGCAACGGGGATGCGAAGACAGAAGGGGGGAACTGGGCCACATGCACTCCGTGCAGCCCCCGTGCCAGTCCCGCGGAAGGGGCCCCGGGCCCTTCCCAGGCCGCCCCCTCGGCCCTCTGGTCTAGCAGGGCCTTTTACGGCAATTCAGGGCTCATTTTAAGATCCTGCTGATTGAGACAAAAGCGCCACAGGAAGGGGAACGACGCGGGAGGCCTCCCCAAGCAGCCAGTCCCCGCCGGCCTGATACCCGCGCTCACTGGAGCCCCCCGCGGCACGTGAGGGTCTGGGCCGCAGCGCGCCACCTCCACGCCCTGCGGGGCACGGGGCCCGGCGCAGAACAGCTGGTTGCCGCACACCGCGAGCCGCGAGCCCGGCATCGCCCGGCCGTTAACATGGCGACAGCCTCGCCGATCGATGGCCACAGTAAGCCGGGCACACGCGCCACGCTTCGAGCCTGCGCACATGCGGAGCACACGGGCCCAGCCAGGCCAGGCCGGGCTGCGGGGACGGCGCCCACCAGAAGGACCCCTTGCACGCGATTTGGAGGCACAGAAGCACGGCAAGTCATCGGCCGCGCCCGGCTCCAGCCGGCTCTGCTCACATGATGCAGCTCTCCGGTCTTTCCTGAGCACCCCCAGCCACCTCCTGTGGAGGCCCGTTCCACATCCAAGGGGTCCTCACCTCATTTGGGCGCGCCCGAGGCAGGCGCCCGAGCGCTTCGCCGAGAGGGCCACATCCCCCGGCTGCGCCCCTTTCGGGGGGCTTCGGAAAGCCTCCTAGGCTAAAGCCTCCTAGGCTAAAGCGACAATCCACACAAGCGCCACCTATGCAGAGGCTCCCACTGCCTGCGGATCCGCAAGGTTCCCCTTAAAGCGGCAACCAGCTCCGCGGCCTTCGCCGAGAAATAAAGGGGGGAGGCGCAGCTCTCCTGGGAGGACCCCTCCGGCCGCCTCTGCTCAGTGTCCCCTGCCCCAGAACGAGGCCGCCACACGAGGTGGCCGGGCCAGGGGGGCGCCACGGAGCACCCCTGCCCTCGCTACCGACGGCTGCCGGCATCGGCTGGGGAGGGGAGACGGCATGGCCGACTCAGCCACGGCCGGCTGCACGGGACGCGGCCGACTGCCATCAAATCCTCTCGAGCGAGCCGGCCAGCTGGGAAATCAGCAGCGGCAGCCTCCGGAAGGCTTCTGCCGGCCCTGCAGTCTTTCCCACAGGAGCCCTGCATCCTGCCAGAGCCCAAGGACAGGCACGAGCACTCCCTGCGGAGCCTCGCTCCCGAGCCGCCTTCGGAGGCTGCGTTGCCCGGAAACGTTGTCGGCAGAGAGGCAGCGAGGCCTCCGGCCCAGGCGGCGGGCAGCTCCCTCCCCTGCTTTTCTGGAGGAGCGGGTCGCAGCTGCCCCACGGAAATGGGCGCCTCAGACTGCAGCCCTGCTGGCTCAGAGAGGCCCGTGCTGGCCGGGGAAGCCAGGATGAAGCCAGGATGAGGCCTCGGGGGCATGCAGCCGGTGTTGCCTACACCCTGGCAGGAGCCTGGACGCTGCGGGAGGGGCTGGGGAGGCCAACGGGGAGGTAACCCCTGGCAGGCCGAGCCGCCCCAGATGGTGAGGCGCTGCCATCTCTCAGCGGCCGGGGACACTGCCTGAGGCTTAATGGGTCAGACGGCCTCTTGCAGGCGGCGGCGAGAGCCTCCCCTTTCTGCGGCTCTCTCAGCAGCGAGCCCCTTCCCCGCCTTCCTTGCGCCACTGCAGCCGCCCCCCGGAGCTGCCAGCTACCAAGGTACCTCCCGGACCAACGCGGGAGTCGCAAGCCTGCTGCCCCCCTCCCCTTTCCAGCGGAGCAAGACGGGAGCTCATGGAATACCCTTCTCCGCGGGAGCCTCACAGGCTTTGCCGAGACGAGATGCAGGGCTGCTTTCTACGAGAGCACGAATCAAGCTGATGCTCCCCCTCCTCTGTGCAAGCAGCTTCTGCCCATGTGTGAAGTTCCCCTGCAGAGGAGGGCAGAACGCGCTCCAACGGAGCAAAGCTCAGGGAACCCAGGTTCCATTTGGATGCCAGGAAGCACTTCCGGACAGTCAGGACCCCGAGGGTGTGGAATGGGCTTCCCCAGGAGGTGGCTGAGGCCCCATCGGTGCGGGTGTTCAAGGACAGGCTGGACGTCCACATGGTGGGCATGTTGTGAGAGGAGCCGGCTGGAGCCAGGGGTCAGACTAGATTGCCTGGGAGACCCTAGGTCACTTTCAGACTGGAGCAGCCTCTTCTCCCTTTTCTTTCCCCAGAGCCTGGACTCCCGCTGTCCTGGTGGCTCAGGAGCCCTTCCAGCCAAACAGGGAGTGCCTGGTGCCACATGACCGTCCCGCCTGGCTGGGGTGGCGCTGCTCATGGCTCTCTGCCCCTGCCCTTCTACGGAGTCCCGCCCCCCAACCGCCCCGTGCCCCAGCAGGCTTGGCTCTCTGCTGCTGGCTGCTCTCACCTGCTCTGACCCCCAACCTGGCCTTGCTGGCGAATCTCACCGAACCCCAGCCCCAGCCCCAGCCCCAGCCCCAGCCCCAGCCCCAGCCCCTGACTTGGGGAGCCACCTGCCCACACCTTCCCAAGCTTTGCACTCCCCGAATCTGGCTGGGAAGGCAGCACTGCGAGAAGCCCCCCACCCCCCGCAAGCTCAGGCTCTCAGGGCAGGCTTGGTGTGCAGCACGTGGGGGCCTGTGCGGCCCCCACCCCAGCAAAGCAGGAGGCCTCCGAGCTTGGCACCCCCCACGGCCTCCGCCTGCACCCGCTCCCCCGGCCGGCCTCCGGGCTGGGTGCCGCGAGGCTCATTATGCTAATGACCCTGCAGTCCCGGGAAGTGGGCAGGCGCTTCGGCGTCTGGACCAAGGCGACGCGTGTCCTTCACGTTCCAATCAGGCAGCCAAACGGGCAGGCGTGATCCGCCCAACGCGAACGGCTGCCATGTGCCCCACGGGCGTCCAGCGCACTCACGCCGCGTCACGCGTGCCTCTGGAGAAAGCCGGCCAGGCTGGCAAGCGCAGCCACGGCCTGCTCCGTGAGCCCCGCCATGCTTCTGGCACCGGTTCGGCCGGTGCCGCGGGTGCCCCCAACTGCTCTGGGGGGCTTGCCGAAGGCGCCTGCCCGCAGTGCCCTCCTCACCTCAGCCGTGGCGCAGAGGCCCCCCCGAGAAGCCCCGGAGCTGGCCTGACGACCCGCGAGTGCCTTGCCCCCAGCACCGCGGCCACCTCCAGGGCTCCGTTCCCCTGAGGTGGCCCGGAGGGCCTTCCGAGCACCCAAATTCTCCCCCTGCCCTCTCCCACCTGCCACAGGGTCAGACTCTAGGCGTTGGAAGGGGCCAGAGAGCCCCGGGGCTCAACCCCTGCCCAGCACAGGATTCCCAGTGAGACCATCCCTCTCGGGTGGCTGCCAGCTGCACCTGGGTGCCTCCCAGCGAGAGAGCCCACCCCTGGGTCAGGGGCTCTGCTGTCCTGTTGCTCGGGCTCTAAAGGATGTCTTCCTGGCACCGAGCAGGTTTGGGGCTTCCTGTAACCTGAGCCTGTTATTCCATGTGCTGCACTCCGGAATGGACAAGATGTGACCCTGCCCCCCTTTCAGGCACTTGTGGGGTGCCCTGCCCTCTCCCCACAGGCTTCTCCCCTCGAGGCTGGAGAGGCGTTCCAGTGGGGCAAAGCTCAAGGACCAGGCGTCAGGCCGGGTGTCAGCAAGTGCTTCCTGGCAGTGCGGACGCCTAGATACTGAATGGGCTCCCAAGGTCGAGGCCCCACCGGAGCGGGTGTCCAAGGACAGGCTGGGCGTGCACATGGTGGGCATGTCGTGAGCAGAGCTGGCTGGAGCCGAGGGTCAGACTAGCTGGCCCAGGAGACCCCTTCTGGCTTGCTCTGGTTCTCTGTTTCCAATAAATAACCACCATTAAATAGTGCTGGGCACCCGATACGCGGATACTTACAAGTGGAACTTCTCCTCCCAGACGGGATTCAGATTCCCAAAGATGGTTTTTGTCCGCTTCTTTGTCTTGCCCACCTGGACAGTCACGTAGGGGTCGCTGGAGCCCGTTTTGTCCTTGGCCTGCAGGCCCTGAGCGCACAGCACTGCGGGGAGGAGCGTGTGGCTCAGGCCGGCCCCCGGGCGCTCGGGGGGCCGTCGCACAGCACGGCATGCCCGGGGGCGCCCGCACCCGGATCCCCCCCCTCACCTGTGATGGTGATCTTGGCCGACCACTTGGACGTCCCGTCCAGGACGCTCTGCTTCACCGTCTTCATCTGCTGCAAGTGGCTCGTCTTGCTCTCGCTGAAGACCTCCTGGATCAGGTCGAAGATCTCCGGCTTGTTCCTCTCGCGGATCTTCATGCGGTCCTTCATGGCCATGATGAGGCTCTGCGTGCGGTCCTCGGCCCCGTGCTTGGAGCTCTTCTCCGCCGCTCCTGCAGGAGACGGGAAGAGGCAGTCACGGGCGGCCCCCCGGCCGAATGGAGTGGGGGCCGCATGGTGTGGGCAGCTGCCGGGGGGCCTCGCTGGCCTCCCCTTCCCATGCAAGCAGAGCCCCCCGCGTCCTCTGCTGCTCCCACCGAGACAGACCCTCCCCAAGACGCGCTCTCGGCCGCGCCCCCTTCTCTCCCTCTGGGGACCTGGGTCGCTCGAGCAGGGGCCCCTCAGGCCTGCATCTTGTGCCACTCCCCACTTTCCTTGGGGTCAGAGAATCGCGGGGCTGGGGGGGACATCGGTCCAGCCCCCACTCAGCACGGGACTCCAGGTAAAGCCTCCCCAAGCTTCACACCCAGGTGGCAGCCCAGCGGCACCTTGAACGTCCCCCGGGCCACGGGCTCCATAGCCGAGCTGCTCAGACGGCCGGGACGCCTTTCCTCACGTCCTGCCACAACCCGGCCTCCTGGAAACGAGCCCGCTGGTCTGCGTCCTGCACTCTGGGCCGAGCCGAGCCGGAAGACACCCTGGCTCTCCTTCCAGGTACTTGCCGAGTGCCGTCCTACCTCTCTTCAGGCTTCCCTTCCGGAGGCTGAGCATGCCCAGGTCCCTCCATCCCTCCTCACAGGGCTTTGCTTCCAGACTGCTGCCCACCCCCGAACCCCTCCAGGTTGCCCGCATCCTCCTTAAACTGCGGTGCCGGGGCCGGACGCAGACCCCAGGTGAGGTCAAGCAGTGCTGCGCTCTGTTTGGTGCGGGCTTGACAACAGTACACAACCCCCTTTCGCACTGGGATAGCCCCTGGGCCCGCGCCGGGGCTGGTGGAGAGCCGGCCGACGGAACGGCGGTGCCAGCAGCCAGCACTGGGGGAGCCGATCCGTGCGTGCGGAGGGGACAAGTCCACACGGCTCCGCCTGGCTTCTTTGCCTCTGTGGCAAGTCGGCCGGGCCACAGCGCTTGTGCCACAAGCGGGACATGCGCGGAGCCACGCAACCGGCATTCCCGCCACACCCTCCTGACGGCATGATTTGACCCGGGGGCTCTTCCTTCCTGTGCGCAATCCCACCAGAAGCGATTCACCCCCGAGGCTGCCTGGACCACTCTGGCCCTCCCTGCCGGGACCTGCCGAGGGCCCCACGCTCAGCCGCTAAAATCGGAGAACAGGACAACCCACAGCGAGGCGCCGGTGTGCAGGCTCCCCCAAGACGGAGCCCGTGGGAGCGCAGCACCCGGCCGGGCCACGGAAAGGTGCCGTGCACTTCGAGCAGGGCAAAGCGAGCCCCTGCAGACCGGGGCCGCGCTGGCTCCGTGGGGGTCCACTCAGCCAGCGGTGCTGGCAGGGCCCGTCTGTTCTGCGGAGGGCAGGCCTGAGACGCCCGGGGCAGCCTTGGCGTGCCAGGCGGAGGCGCGGAGGCAGGTCGGCGGGGCGTGCGGGGCTTCCCGCAGAGCGCTGCAGTCTCTCGGCCCCTGACACCCCGTCGGCGGGCGAGGGCAGGGCAGGGCAGGGCAGGGCGGGCGGCGGCTCCCCCTCCGAGTGGCGCAAGCCTCTGGTGCGCAGCCCTGCGGGGGCCCCGATCCCAAGCTCTGACTCGCGGCTGCCAGGGAAGTCTGAAGCGGCGGCGATGCTGCTTGTCTGCGGCGTGAAGGCGGCCTCCCTGCCAGCCATGACTGCACGGGGGTCTTCGCGGCCACGGGCCTTCCCCCCACAGGGCTTCCTCGCGTGGCACGGCCACACTGGGGAGTGCCGGCTGGACAGAAGTGGTGCCCCCTCGCTCCTCCCCGAGGGCCACTTGCCCACGCGGGAGACGCAAGCCTTCCCCGACGGGGGCACAGCAGGCATCTGCTCAGTGGGAGGTGATGCTGGGAAAGGAACCCAAAATAGGCCTGGGAGTTTGAAATTTAAAGCCTCCTTCCTCGCTCGGCACGAGCACGTCTTGGCAGAGCCCCGTGGCAAGGCTGGGCCTGAACTGTCATCCGAGGGGTGGCTCCGTGGCTCCTCAGCGTGTCCGTGGCCCTCGCTGCCCAGGTGGACAGTGTTGCTGACGCCGGAGCGCAGGCAGAGGTGGCGGCCGAGCCACGCGGCTCCCTCCCAGGGCGCCCGGCTGGCTTCCGGGGCTGCTTCGAGAGGGCCGGGGCCAATGGTATTGGCCCCGCGGGAGCCCCTCGCCCTCACGGATCGCTGTGCCCCACGGAGGAGAGGGCTGGCGCAGGAAGGGTCGGGACCGGCTGCAGGGAGCCACCTCCTCTTCCCTGAATCCTGCGCTGCCCTGAGGGCATTTGCCATCCGGCTTTCTCTGCAAACCGTGCGGCCAGCCTGGGCCGAGGTGCATGCCAGATGCCCCGGAGCAGCGCTTCACAGCCCCTCGGCCCATCTCTCTGCCGCGGCCCCGGTTCTGGGGCACACCTCCCATCTCTGCCCTCGCTGAGGCAGGCCGCACCTCTGCACTCAGCCTTGAGAAAGCAAAATTAGAAGCGGTCCAGCGGAGGGCACCACAAACGACCCAGGGCTTGGAAGCACTGCCCTGGGAGGAGAGACGGAAAGAACTGGGCCTGTTCAACCTTGAGAGGAGAAGGCTGAGGGGGACACGGTGTCCCTCTAGAAGTCCCTCCAAGGCTGTCACAGAGAGGAAGGCCAAGATCTCTTCCTGCTGATGCCGGAGTGCGGGACACGGAATAGTCAATTCAGGTTGCAACAACCCAGACTCAGGCTGGACATCGGGAAGAGCTTCCTCACTGTCAGAGAAATACGGCAGTGGATCCAGCTGCCCGGAGAGGTGGGGGGCTCTCCCACTCTGGAGGCATTGAGAAAGAAACCGGGAAGCCCTCTGAGTGGATGGTGTGACCTGATGTCCTGCAACAGCAGGGGGCTGGACTAGATGGCCTTCATGGCCCCTCCCAGCTCTGGGGTTCTGCGCCTCTGTGATTCCTATGGAGGCTGGCTCAGGTGTCCGCTAGCGTGGGAGCAGTCCCTGCACCTCTCAGGACAGGAGCCCAGGACCAGGGCGGGCCACGCCACTTCTCCGCAGCACCTGCCATCTGGGCAGCGACGGATCTACCGCCTGGCTCCTCCACGCCTGCTGCATTCAGCGCGTGAGCTTTCTATTTAAGTGCAAACAGGAGGAACGAAGCTGGCAGGTGCTGCCGCTGCCGCTGCCTCCCCCACGAAGCTGCTAAGACGAAGCCGCCCTCAGCAAAACAAAGATGCGCTTTGCAGGAAGTCGAGAGCTGTCGTTCCTCCTGGGAGACCGCTGCCAAAATCGTTTTCCGAGCCGTTCAGGCCTCTCGCCATCCAGCATGTCGAGGAAGCAGCCTAATCGGAGGCTCTGGCGAAGGGCAGCGCCACTGACACGGAGCAAGGGGGCGCCGAGCAGGGGCTCCGCGTTCCCCTTCTTCATGAAGGCGGGCGGGGGGGGGGTGCTGCTGCAGCTCCGCAGCTCCTGCGGGGGACCTCCTGGCTGGCTCAAATGCCAGAGAGCAGCATGGCGTACGGGGGAGGGCTCGCCTCCCCAGGATGGAAGGGGCTCGGGGCCAGGGCCAAGGCCAGCAAGCGAAGCCACTGCGCTTGGGCATGTGCAGCCCCGCCGGCCCTGCCAGGGCCTCTGGAGTGGCTGACGAGAGGTGGCACGGGCCGTGCGCCGGCCGGAGGGTGGCAAGCGGGGGACGAGGGACCGGCGGGGCAGCCCGTGCTTCCCGCCCAGGCCGGCCCAGCCGTGGCCTCCACCCGCAGCCGCCACGCCACGCCACGCCACTCCACGCAGAGGCAGAGCGTCGCCCTCGCGGCCCGGCCGCAAGGGCGCCTGCCTCTTGGCAACTGGTCCCCGGGCGAAGGCTGGCCAGGGCCCTCCCGCAGCAGGCCGCCACTCACTCTGCAGGCAGTCGGCGTTCAGCAGGTCCTGGCACTTCTCGTGACACTTGACGCCACACTCGGCGCAGCGCATGCCCTGCCGCGCGATGCCCCACAGCAGCCCCTCGCACTCGTAGCAGTAGGTGGGGGTGGTGGCCGTCCACACCTCGAAGTTGTGGGGCGTGGTGCAGGAGATGGGGTAGATCAGCGCCTGCAGCGTCTTCCGGTACACGTGCGACTTCTGGAACGGAAAGAGGAACAAGCCGCGTGAGCGAGGCCACGGGGGCAGTCCGGGCCCCACACCGGCTCCGTGGCCGCATGGATGCCCACGTGGCCCGCGGCAGAAGGCGGCCCTCCCCCGAGACCTCGGCATGCCCTCCGTGCCAGGATCCCCAGGCGCTGGGGAGAGACTGCCCGCCCCCGCCCCAGGCACCGGAACAGGCACGTCAGAACACGGATCCTCGGCCGTGGGCTTTGCGGGCCGGCAGGCTCTCCCCCTTGCGCCACTTGATCACGCCCCGCTGGCAGGGGTGGGCTTTGCTCTCCAGTCGTGCGCCCCCCCGGCGGGATTGCTGCCCGAGGGCCCCGCGGCGCCAGCCTGGTGCCCCGGGGGCAGCCCGAGGAGCGCTCCAGCCGTGGCCCTCTGCCTGCGAAACCTGCCCCCGAGCCTTACCAGTTCCTCGTCCTTGAGAGAGGTCCGGGTGGCCATCGCCGAGGTGATTCCAGCTTTGCGGGACTGGACCAGTGACTGGAAGGGAAAGCGGCCAGTTGGTGCGTGTGCGTGGAAAGCGGATGCGTTCCGAGCCGGATCTGGCTTGGGGGTGCACGCGCGTGCACGGGGGTTGACCGCCTTCCCCACGGAGGATGCCTTGAGCCCCTCCATGGGAGGGCAGAGCATGTGGCAACGGACACCTGTCCAACCTCTGCGAACGAGCAGGGTGTCCTTTGGGGTGGGCGGCTTTCCTCTGCTCTACTGGGAAGACTGCAGGTGGTCCTCCCCACCCCCTGAAACTGGGGGGAGGGGACTTTTAAATGCCAGTGCGTCCTCCGCATGATCACCCGCACCCCACCCCAAGCGTCACCTCCTCCAGCTGCTGTCCCCCAGCCCCATCACGAAGGCCACCTGGGTCACAGGGAGCAGGGGGAGGCGGGAGGCGCGCCTGCGGCTGCAGAGCCGTCCCTGGGCGAGGCCCAGCCCGCGTGAGCCGGGGGCGCATGGCACCCTCCGTTCACCCTGCGGCGGAAACCAACAGGAAAGTGGGGGGTGGGAAGCAACTGGGGGGGGCCAAGCACTGGCTGCGCCCCAGAGGCCGGGCAGAGCCGTGCTTGGGCTGAGAAGCACTTACCATGGCCTGGGGGGGGAGCGCCGGCATCATCCGAGAGAGCATAACAGGCGAATTCCACAAGTTAGTCAAAGGCCAGCTCTGCCCTGCCCGGGGCACTGTGGCCCCTGACCCCACCTTGCCTGACTGGGCAGCTCATCTGGCTGCTGCCCAGAGACGGTGGCCTCTGCTTCCCGGCACACCCACAGGACGCGCAGCTGCAGGGACCAGGCGCCTCGCCAGGGCAGGGCTAGGGACCCGGCTCGGGCTCGCACAGACGGCGGGCTCCGGAGCGGCTGACTGGCGCTCCCAGCGGACATGGGGGCTGCTTCTCCAACCGGGGGTCCCTGGGCCGCGGCCGCCCCAACTCTGACCCCACGGCAGGAGGCCAGAGCTCTGCTGTGGGCCGCATCAGGTGCGGCAGCGGCGGCGCTCCTGGCCTGCCCTGGCCCTTCTCGGCGACGGCACCCGGACCGTTCTCTGCGGGTGCTGCCGGTGTGCAAGGCCGGCCTCGGATTCACCTCGCTGGTGCGCACAGCCGCTTTGGCCGGGGACGAGCGCGGCACCCTTCCCAGCATGCGTGCGTGCGTGCGGGGGCATGGCCTGCTCAGGCGGGGGAGAGCGAAGGCACTGAGAGGGCCGCGTGGGGCGCCCAGAGGAGGGGCCGTGCGAGACGGACACGTCGCAAGGGGCCACGCCAAAGCCAGCGCGGATTCCAGAGAGCGCAGAGCCACCGGGGCGCTTTAAAGCAGGCGCCCCCTCCGGCCCTCGGCTGGGCTCCCTCAGGCAAAAGAGTGGGACTGTGGGGGGGGGGCTGCACCGATGCCCCCGGCAGACACGCCTGGTGCCGTCACAGCATCTGGCGGGAACCCCGTCGGGCGGTTGAAGTGCCCATTTGCCAAGGCGCGCCCGAAGCATCGCTGCGGTCGGAACGGGGCTGCGGGGGGGGCGGGGGGGCTCTCACCAAGTCGCTGACGAGCGGGACGGGCTTCTTCTTGCGCAGGTCGGGCATGCTGTCGATGCCGTAGAGGCCGCCCGCCGGCCTGGGGCGACAGGAGAGGCGCGTCAAGGCAGGCTGCGCCCGGCGGTGGCTGCAGGCGGTCGGCCACGCGGCGCGGCAGCCGAGCGCGGCCTCTGCCAGGGGGGCTCTCCCCCGTGGGCAGGAAGCCACCCGGAGCACGGCACGGCTCGGCTCAACGCGGCACGAGGACGCAGCTGCGGCGTGAGCAACCTGGCGCGGCCAGGGCTGGCCAATCCTCCGGCCAGCTCAAGCGCTCCACCTGGGCTCCTGGGCAGGCTCCCCAGCCAGGCGGCTTGCTCCAGCTCGCTCCTGGGACCGGCCCCGCCAGGGTTTGTGCCCCTTTTTGCTAAAGGGGGAAGCCCCGTGCTGCGAGGTGGAAGCGCCACGAGGACGCGCCGCAGTGGGGAAAGTGCCAGGATCCAGCGGACAGGCATGGCAGGCCACGCTTCCGCCCCCAGAGAGCCACGGCTGGCCAGGGATTCCGCCCCCAGCCGACACTGGCAAGGGGGAGGCACCCCAGAGCCGGTGTGCCCACGAGGAGCCGGTGCCGCCTCCTCGCCGGCCTTCGCGCAGCCGGGCGGCCTCCTTCCTGGACTGCGCTTTTCCCCTCCTGGGAGGAGCCCAACCCCGGGAGGCCGGCACGGTGCCACGGCAAGGCGGGCGAGGGCGAGGGCGAGGGCGAGGGCCAGCCGGGGTACCCACTGCGCTGCTGGCTGAGCGGGCCAGAACCGGCTCCCGCAGGCCCTGCTCCGGCTCCCCCGCCTCCTCACCACACCGGCTCCCACGCAGTGCGGCAGGTTGCTGGCGGGAAACACTGCTTCTGGCGGATCCATTGAAGCCCAACTCCGGCAGCGGAAAGGGGGGGCTCTCCACACATGTGCTCCCCCGTGAGGAGATGCCCCCTGGAAAGGGCGCCGGGCACCTTCCCACCAATCCGCCTGTGCCAGGAGAAGGGCTTCATCTGCTGATGCTGCCACGAGACGGGGTCCGCCCTCTTCTTGCGAGACTTCAGATCACACGTTCTGACTGGGCATCGCCCGAAACTCAGGCAGGGCCCAGGAAGGCCCCAGCACCCCGGCATGCAATCTGCTCCCCCAGCTGCCCCTCACGGCTTCCTCTAGCGTTTCCAGCACACCACCCTCCGCGAGACCCGACCCCCATCGGCCACGGCGCTTCCGGAGCCCCCCACACATGCACGGCCGAGGCCCGCCTCAGCCGGACGTGCACCCCTTCGCTCCTGCTTGCGCTGACCCACTCCTGCCGTTAACGCCCGCTCCCAGTCGGGAGAGACGCTTCTGCAGCTCCTTCCCGTCCAGGCAGTTTGGGGTCACGGGGGAACTTGGCTGTCCGCTCCTCACTCCAGCTCGCCCCCGTTCAGACCCTGGGGGAGCCGCTTCTGCACTGGGCGGGGGCTTGCTTTGGCAAGCGAGACAGCGGGGAAGGGGCCCGGTGCTGGGAGTGACCTCGCCCGCCTTGTGGAGGGGATGCGCCGGACCACTCAGCGCCACGCCTCCGGTCTGCGGGGCACTGCTTGCCCCCGCCCCTCCCTCCGGGCCCCCTGCCCCTTCCCTGCCCCTCCCCGGCAGCTCTGCTGCTTCCCCAGCTGCCCTGCCTCAGCCCGGCCCGGCCCGGCCTGGCGCTTGCTGCCCTTCCAGTCGTCCAGCACAATACCCTTTCCCGGAAAAGGTGTGGAGGCGGAAGGGGCCATGCAGGAGGATCTCAGCGCATTCCTGGAGCGTCCAGTCAGAGGCTTTTCTGGAAGAGCGGGGCCGGATCCAGGTGCCTCTCCCTAGCCCTCATTTTGTGCGGTGCCAGACTCTGCCCCCCACGACTCCTTCCCTGTCCTCAATGAGCGGGGGTGGGCCCGAGGCAGGCGCAGAGGCCTGTCTGGAGTCCCGGCCCCTCCTGCTGTGCCTGCAGCCCCCTCCCCTCAGTGCCTTCCCCGGGGCCGGAGCCAGGGCCAAGCGAGTGCCGGGCACAGGCCGAGCCGCGGGGCAGCGAAAGCACCAGACCTTCCCCACAAGGAGCTGGCTGGGCCAAAGGGATGCCTCCTGGGGCGCATTTCTGCTCCCCTTTCAAGTCAGCCAAACACCCTGCGTAAGCGCGCCCTGGGAGAGCTCATTAGAGGCGGAAGAGAAGGCGTCGCGCGCTAAAGAAGATCAAGGCTCTGCCAGTGGCTAATTGCCAGCCCCCCCCCCCGCCTCGGGAGCAGCGCCCCGGCTCGGTGGAGTGCCACGGGGTTGCCAGGCAGCAGCACAGCCCACGGGGAGGCGGCGGGCGCTGCTCCAGCCAGAGAGCCCAGAGGAGTGGCCCGTGCCACGGAGCTGCCCCGGGGGCCCCAGCTGCGGCCATGCGCGCTCCGTGCCCCCAGCTGCTGCCTGGCGCCGGCTGGAGAGCCGGCCGGCCCCGGACAGCCCCCAAGGATGGGCCCCGGACTCTCCGTCCGTCTGCCCTGGCCACAGCTCTTCACAGGCCGCACCAAAAGGGCAGGGCTTTCCGAGCCAGCGGTGCCGGGCCGTGCGGCTCTGCTCCGACGGAACGGTCTGCCTGGAACCGCACGGCTCAAACGCTGTGCCTTTCCGCCCTCCCTCCGGCCACCACCCCCGGGCTGGGGGGTCCACAGGCGCGGCAGTCTCGGGGCCACGGGGCGAAGGGCTCTCCCGAGGAGCAGGGGAGGCAGCCGCCGCTCCGCCAGCCGATGGATGCGCTGCTGCTGCAGAGGCCCCGGGCGCAGCGGCCGGCCGGGCTCCCACGCCGAGGCGGGGCACCCGCCCCACTTCCGCCCATTCCACCCAGGGCACCGAAACGGGAGCCGCTCCGGGCACAAAGGGCCACGTGGCGCTTGTGCGCTTCCCCAGGCCGACCCGGTCGCCACGCAGGGAAGAACAGGCGGCTGCCCACATGCTGGCCGAGCGCATCTGTGCCGGGCTGCCCTCTCCGGAAAGGACCCTCCGTGCGGAGAGGCTGTCCGCGGGGGCTCCTTCCAGCCCGTGGAGGCTGCTGCCTGCCGGCCAGGGCCTCAGGCTACGGGCCCGCTTGGGTGCTGGCACTCGGCCCGACTTTTGGGCTACGCTCTTCGCCGCCTCATTCCCATGACTGGGGCAGGGGGGGAGCAGACGATGTCAGCGGGGACACTTACCCCCCTTTGAGCCACGGTGACTTTGCCGGATCGCCATCGTCCTGCCCCTTAAAGAGCGGAAAGGAAAAAGGAAACCGGAGTCAGTTCTCGTGGGCAGCGCTGCGTCCGTCCACGGCAAGCTCGAGGCGGGGGGGGGGGGGGCTGCATGCAAGGAGGTTCCTGCCGCCCCTCCCCAGGAGGCCGCAGGGGCCGGGCAGCCTAGACACCGCTGCACGCCGGCTCATGCTCACACAGTGGCGGGGGGTGGGGGGAGAGCCTGTTCAGTGCCGTGCGTGGCAGAGCCCAACCCCCTCCCTGGAGCAGCCCCGGCACGATTTGGCAGAGTCTGTGGGGCCCAGTGCTTGTGGCACCTTCCCAGCTACTGTGTGTTTGCACAACACGCACACAGGGGAAAGGGGCGGGAGCGAGACCATGGGGACCACGTCCACCAGCGCTCCCCGTCTCTCCTCGGCCGCCTTCCGGTCAGCCCTCTCGGCCAGCGCGACCCGCCTGATCCGGGCTCCAGGCAGCAAGGCGGAGGCCTGGAAGGAGCGCCTGAGCAGCGGCCGCCTGGCCCCAATCCGGGGGGAGGCGTGCAGCCACGTCCCTGAGAAGCAGCCGCTGGCCCCGAGACAGGCAGCCCGGCAGAGGCGAGGCGAGGCGAGGCGGCGGCTGGCCCCCTTCCCAGAGGGGTGCTCTGCGCTGCCCAGTGAGCAGGGGCAGCAGGCCGCCAGGGCTCGCCGGGGGGGGGGGCAGCTGTGCCCCACCACGCCTCTGCGGGGCCCATGCCGGAAGCCGCCAGGAGCAGGCTGGAGGGCGAACGGGTGACTTCAGCCGTGGGAGTCCCGAGCCACGGAAAGCCGGCGAGCGGAAGGCCTTCTGCCAGTGGGGCAGGAGCTGCTGGGCAGTGGGATGGGGGCCAGCACCCCGAGCAGGCAGAGAGCAGACGCCCTCCCCGGCCAGCACTCCTCGTGCGGTGCCGCCCCGCTGGCAGGGGGCCAGGTCCCTGTAAGGATGGAGCTCCTCCTCCTCCTCCTCATTAACTGCAGGCCGATCGCTCGGTGGCTGAGGCAGTCCCCAGAACTGCAGCTGTTGCATGATGGGAAGGGGGGGACGTGTGCTCAGCGCTTTTCTGGAACAGGCCAAGCAGCAGAGACCTCAGTGCGGGGGGGGGGGGGTCCCGGACACGGCTCCCCGTGGACCGCCAGGGAGGGAGCCTCGGTTCCAGGGGAGGGAGGATGCCGTTGGCTCTGCCCAGCACAGGAACAGGAAGGCCACCTCCAGGCATCTCAAGCAGAATAGGGTCCCCTTTCCCCCTGGAGCATGGAGTGAAGCACAGAGCCAAACCCCAGTCTGCGCAAGACCAGCTCCCCTGCGCTCGGCGCTGGCCGGCCTCGTCCGGAGCCTGTGTCCAGCGCTGGGCGCCACAGCCGAGGGAAGGTGCAGACCAGCCGGGATGGCTCAGAGGAAGATCCGGGACTGGGAGCACAGCCCTGCGAGGAACGACTGGGAGGACTGGCCCGTTCGGCCTCGCGAAGAGGAGATGGCGGGGGGGGGGGGGGCGCCCTGCAAGCGTCTGCGAGGCTGCCACGCGGGGGGGCCAGGACCTCTTCTCGGCCATCCCAGAGTGCAGGACACGGAATCGCGGCCACAGCAAGCCGGGATCAGGCTGGTCGTCAGGACACGTGTCCCGCCTGCTCGGGCAGTACGGCGATGGAGCCGGTGACCTCGGGAGACGGTGGCCCCCGTGCAGGCGGCCTCCAAGAGGCGGCTGGGCCTGGAGCCCTGCCCCGAGCAGGGGCTGGCCCTCGACAGCCTCACAGGCGGAGAGAGGGGCCCGCCCTGCTCGTCCCGGGCTGCTCGGACGGATGCGCCCGACTCCGAGGAGGCCGAGGACCCGGATGCTCCAGGGCTGCCTAGCGGAGCTTCCCGGGCCAAGCCTGAGGCTCCAGCTGCTCTGGATGGGGGGGCTTCCGGGATGGGAGGGGCAGCGGAGGCGAGACCTGGTCCTTGACCCGGGAACGAGGTGATGAGGGCCCTGAGCTGCCCGGTTGGAGTGTCTTTGCCCTTCCCACCGTCTCCCCCTCAAGCCCCCCAGAGCGAAGCCTGCAGCTGCAGGGAGGGCAGGGAGAGAAGGGATGCTGCCCGTCGGGATTCAGCCCTTTACCCAGGCTGATGCTTCTCCCGCGGCTCCGGCAGAGGCTGTGCAGGGTCCGCTCCACTCTGCACGATTTCAGCGGAGAGCAGCCCCTCAAGGACAGCCTGGAATGGCGTGACCAGCAGGAGGGGGGGGGGGGGCCCTCCCAGCCCTGCCAGTCCACAACGTGATGACATCTGCCCACTCCGCTTAGGAAGGAGAAGATGACACACCCAGGACGAGGAGCAGAGTGAGTCAGAGTCAAGGCAGGGGCCGAGGCGAGGTGTGGGGGCAGCGGGGGGTTGTGCGGACGGTCGTGAGCGGGGCCTGGCGCCTCTCGCCGGCCCGCGGGTTGTCGGGCACCACGGAGAAGCTCAGGCGGGAGCCGGCCACGGGGTCCCGGTGGGAGAAAACAGGGGTGCGCTTTGAGCCACTCCCCAGATGCCAACTTCCGGGGAGGCTCCTGTTCGCAACGGAGTGGCCCCCAAGCAGCGCCCCTTCTAAGACGGGCTCCTCCTTGAGCAGGACGGGTGGAGGACGGGGACCGAGCCCCAGGACCGAGATGGGGAACCCGCCCCCCACTGAGCCGCGTGCGCAGGACTCCTCCGTCCACGGCTGGTGGGGGGGGCAAGAGACCAAAATGGGACGCGGCCTCCTCTTCCCATCGGGGGTGCAAGAGCCACGGAAAAGGCTGCCCCCCCGCCCCCCAATGCAGCTCTGCTGCAAAGCTTTGGCCGTAGCGAGAGGAGCCGAGGGGTGTTTCCCAAGGGCACGATTTTGCTGCTCGGGGGAAGGCAGCAGGGCCGGCCATGGGGCGTCCCAGGCAGCGGGCACAGCCACCGGCACGCCGGGGAGGGGGGGGAGCAATGCGACTTCAACGCGGCCGCACCGCAACGGGGCTGGACACCGAGGGCCCCATCTCCCCGCAGGAGGACGGCTGCGGGCAATGGAGAAGGCAAAGCGCTTGCGAGTTTCCCCAAAGACTTGCTGGCTTCACGCTTCATCTTCCCGCGAGAGCAAACAGGGCGGAAATCCAGGGCGGCCCTCACTCCAGCGACCGACTGACCCCAAGAAGTTCCGAAAGGACGCTCCGCTCGGTCCCCGGAGCACCACATGGGTCCATCGGAGAAGCCCCAGCGCTGTCGCAGGGCCCTTCCACGCCCGCGGGGGCCCTTCCACGGTCAGCGAACACAGCCACCCGTGGCACATGGGCTGCGGAGACGGCCACGCGGAGGTGCCCCGAGACGCTCCTGGGAGGATCCCAGGGCCCTCTCCCTGGACAGGCCCGGTCAGGACCAGCCCCACTCTGGGCACCGGCCCCCTCTCACATCGGGGGGGGGGGATGCGCCTCTGCCTCGCTTCAGCCGACTCCGCGCTCCCTCCTCACGCGTGGAGTGCGACTGCGCGTCTCCCTTCCTCGTTTTCTCCTGGTGACGAGCGAATTAAGTGCAGGACCCCCAGACCTGCTTCCTGGTTTGCACCTGGAGCAGTCCTTCAATCCAGTCTGCACAACACTTCTGGCCATGAGATTTTCAGAAAGTTTAGAAGGGCAGAATAAGAGAGCCCCCCCCCCCCGGCCCCAGCCCTGCGGGGGTCCCCTCGGCCGTTCTCCTCCAAGGGTTTCCATAGCACTTAGCAGCGATCACCAACGGTGCAAGACACACGCGGGGGAATGGGGAGCCACGCCAACCCCCCGAAAGAACCAGCCAGTCCCCTTTGCCTGCCAGCGGGGCAACCCCCAAGTGACTCCTCTCAGAAGAAAAAGTGTGGGGCCCGAGACACAGGGCCTGGCTGACGCATGGAATGCAAGGCTGCATTTCGCGGGAAGCCTTTCCTCTGGGGAATCCCCGGAGCTGCCTGCTCCCGCCCGCGTGGCCCCGCAGGGGCTGACCGGGGCTGGCCCCACCGCTCCCCGGGGAGAGGGGGGCCCACTCGTCTTCTGCGGGGACGGGCCGAGCCAGACCCGCAAGGGCTTCACTCCAGGCAAGCAGGACGCCCCGCAACGGTCGCCAGGCAAGCACACTGAACAGACCCTTGGGGGGTTGCGCATGCGGCCAGCCCCCCCCCCCCCCCCCCCACAGTGCCGACACATGCCAAACTTGCGGAAGGGGCGGGGGGGGGGACGGGGCTCGTCAAACCGCAGCCAAAGCAGCCGAATCGTAATTCAGACGGGCATGCAAGAACTGTTTTGGCACAGAGGGGAAAAGGGCAGCGTATAACCTGAAGTTCTCCTCTACTTCCTTCTGCGTCGAAGACAAGAAAACAGAGAGGAAAGGAGAGGAACACGGTTAGCAGCACAGACTGGAGTCGGGGGCCGAGCTGGAAAGTGGAGCAAAGCTGTGCCAGGAGGCCCGAGGCCGCTGCCCCAGTGGCTGGCACGACATCCGAGGGAAGGTGCCTCTGCAGCCGAAGCCTGGACGGCGCTTCCCCTTCCGCACGCGCTCGGCTTTGCTTGGCTGCGCGGGGGCCAGCGCTGAGGCGGGTTTCTGCTCCCCCCGCAACGAAGACACTCACGCTCACTCGCTTCTCCACATGAATCGCCAAACACGGTCCTCACACACAGAAGGACAGGCAGGGAAGAAGCCCCCAAATGGGCACAACATGTCCCATCTGCCTCCAAACTGACGGCAGAGTGGGTACCTAAGTTAGTCTTTGCTAAGCAAATTGTTCTGCAGCAGAACAGGAGAAATGCCAAATATTCACATTTTGCATGGTCACAGCAGACAGAAAGAGACTGAGACAGAAGGGGCCCCCTGGTTCCTCTAGTCTGACCCCCGGCTCCAGCCAGCTCCACTCTTGTCATGCCCACCATGTGCATGTCCAGCCTATCCTGGAACACCCTCACCGATGGGGCTTCAACCACCTTCCGTGGAAGCCCATCCCATATCTGAGGGGTCCTAACTGTCAGGAAGTACTTCCTGACATCTACCC